CCATCTGATAGATTTGGGGTCATCAGGGTCAGATCAGGTTCACTACAATATTAATGTAATATCAAGACATGAGGCTGTATTTTTATGTATATTTACTCTTGTACTCCTGGATTATTGAGCATGCATCAGGATATTTACTCTTGTACCTTTTCCATTATTAAGACATACTAATGATCTTTCATCCATTATTTCTTCAATTATGTTACCATTAGGATCTGTCTTCTTGCCACCCCAAAGACTATTGTGGGCATTAAAATCACCACACCATAGTTCTCTTCTATGTGGTCTCCCTGCTATTTCTTTAAACATTTCACTATCAAAGGTGTTTGCATGGATTATAATAATTTATTATTTTCATATTTTCATATTTTCTTAAATTAAATATTTCTATATTAACACATTCTAATGCTTTATTCATTGGGTTTTTCTTATATGCTATTCCATCTTTAATTAGAGTGGCACATCCTCCTCCACTACCATAACTTCTATCCTGTCTTTCTATGCTGTATCCAGGTATCTTAAAATCCAGCTGAGGTTTTAACCATGTTTCCTGAACACATATTATATCTGGGATTATTTCTAATTCATAAACAAACTTTTTAAATTCTTGTCCATTGGCTATTAGACTTCTGGCATTCCATTGAAGAATATGCAAGACCATAATAAATGCTTGGATCCTAATCTTGAGTAAGGAAAGACGGTACAAGAGGAATGAGATTGAGAGAAACGGGTCAAAGAAACACAACTTGGAACATAAATCAAGGGCAGAATGGTCAGCGACAAACATCGGTACCAACAACAAATATACAAAATGCATGTTTGCATAAATGTAGAGTAGATGAAAATACAATGGTGGTGAAAAAAGAAAACTTTGTAGCTTTTATGTGCCATATTGTTAATGTTACAGTTCAAATGAAAAAGAAGTGATAAAATAAAAGCAAGAGTAACAGCAGCAGGAAGATTTTTAGACATGAAAGAAATCCAAGCTGATCAGACTCATACCATTCTGAGCACCACAGAAACAACAGAAAATGCTCTTTTTAGAGCTTCAGCATATGAAACTCTTTCTGTTATTTTGATTCTTTGAGCTTCTCTGGCTTCCCTTTGTATTTTACATCCACCATATGCTGCACTATGTTCTCCTCCACAATTGCAACATTTGATTTTAGTATCTTTATCACATTTTCCATATTCATGTGGGCCTCCACATCTTGCACACCTAACTTTACCTTTACATTCTTTTGCAACGTGTCCCATTCTTTGGCAAATAAAACATCTGATGAGTCTAGGAATATACTCTCTAACTCTATAGTTCATGTATCCCAATTGGATATTTTCTGGCTTACTATTTTCAAATTGTAGAATCACTGTCATAATGTCTTTAAGTTCCCCGTCTCTTTTACTTTTAATCCTTATGGCATCTGTTATTTTTCCTTCCTTTGATTTCTTTTTCACATCCTCTATTGTCATTTCTAAAGGAACTCCTGATATTACTCCTCTTAGCCTTGCTAAAGATCCTGGAATATACGTTTTAATTATTTCCCCCATCAGGGTTTTCATTTTGATTATCTTCTGTTGTAGTGACTCATTAACAGCATGAATTAGCACTCTTCTGTTATTTATGATTCTAGCCGTTTTAATTTTCCCTATTTCTTCCTCTATTGCTTTGGTCATCTTTATTGGGTGTATAGATCCCCCTTCTTGCTTAAATTCCACTATTACTTTAAATTCCACTTCTGATTCATCCTGTTCTCTTGAGCTCACCCGTTCGTTTGGTTTTGTCTTTTTGCTAACTTCTGCTCTTGACTCACTTTCTTCCGACCAACTCCTTGTTCTTTCTTGTCTCTTCCTAAGTGTTCTTTTCATTTTAGCTGATCTTGATATCAACCATTCCATCTTGTTTCCACTATTTCCTCCTGATGTAGAAGCCATGTTGCTACAGTCAATGTACAGTTTATGCGATCCACCAAAATCAAATCCTACCGCTTTCGTTTGTTTGGTGCATTCATTCACTTCCTTCTTCCAGCGTCTCCTCTCCTGAGTCCTGGCACTGAGTAGAGTGGCTGTGGGGTTTAAATACAGGTGACAACAGGTGAGCTGCATGAGGACTGATTGCAGTGACTCAGCAGAGTGGGTGTGGTTAAGTGAGCAGAGCAGGAAGTGCAGCAGGATGGGTGATAGGCATTACAGAGACTTTGTAACATAAACCAGGGCATGAATGAAAAGAGAAACATGGCAGGTTGGAGCAGAAACGTGACACATAATCATGTCAGTATCTTTGTTTGTTTTTTAATAATTTTTTGGTAAGTTTTCTTTGTGCTCATTATTAGGGTGATTACTCCTTTGGTTATTGTGTTTTATGTGTTTTTGGATTATTGTGTTTGAGTTCTTTATTTTAATTTTTTATCTGTCTGTGTGTTTTCCTCTGTTCAGGTCTGCTCCTGCCCCACACACTGTTTACTGCTGTCTTCATGCAGGCGTTAGTGATTTTCTCATCAGTCTCTGTTCTATAAATTCCTCGAGTCTCTGTTTCTTCCTCAGTGGAGCATTGTGTATTTTTACGTGCCTTGTCTGGTTCCTTTCGTCTCTGTTTGAGACCCTGCCTCTGTCCTGTTTGCTGTTGTGTCAGCTTTTGTTTTTGGTTAAATTGAAGCTTGGCTTGTTTTTTACTGGAACTTTAAGTTTTCATTCAAAACCAATTCTGTGATGCTAACATTATAGTGTAATATAGTTCACCGCAATAATATAGAAATTGGAGATTTATCATCTTGTTTTGCACTAAAACATTCAGAATTCCTGACTTCCTGACCAGTCAAAAACAATTTCATGCACATGTGGATGAATGGATAACGAACCATTGTTCATCCATCCATCCATAACTTTATTTTTCTTGCAGTAGTTTAAAATTATTGTGCATCTAGCAGTGACAGCTAAAGTCATTTGATAAATACATAAAACGGAGAACATTTTTCACAGATAGCTGCAAAATTACTTTTCATCCTCATTCACTTTGACCTAAAATATCATAGTGAGCTTTGAGTCTATGGCAGCCGTGATGTCCGAACTTACTTGTAGACCTTGAAGGCAACACACGAACGTTTTTGGCGCTGAACTGAAAAGGACGTCGCTTCATTTGTTCATTAGCTTGTTGGTTAAAAAAAGAAGCAGTAGGTCATTAATGTAGTGTTTATTTAATTAACAAGGAACAGCTAAAGCAAACACTGGTATTTAAATTTAACAGCTGCTTGTTTTTTTAAAAATTTGATTTAAAAGAAAAGCTTTTTTAAAAAAAAAACAACGTTAGCTAAGGTAAGTAGCTAGTAAGTCCAGTTGGCTTCGCAAAACCAACAAGTCAGACAAACAAATACTATTTTAACTTTCTAAATATGACTAATAGTGATTTTCCCACTGTATTTAGAATGTCCACTGTCCAACATGTCAATAATTGGCTCCTGTGTGTTTTTCATTGTCATGCTAACCTGCTAGCTGGATGAGCTAGTTTTCCAGGATGAGGAGACAGGAGCAGCCAGACCGACCAACAACAGGTTGAACACTTGCTTTCTTCAGTCTGTCACCAACACCACCATTACTTTATATGCTTATACTGTAATGAGCAACACTTTAAATCCACCAAACCTTCCATAGTTGAACATTTTAAAGCGACCAAACTTGTCCAGCTTTCTAAACAATATAAAGATTCCTTTAGTTGATTTTTTTATTACTCCTTTTCTTTTCACGACTAAACATGGCGTTTAAAAACAGGAAACGAGTCAGGCTTAAAATAAACTGTGCAGCAGACCTGAAAAGTCCGGTCTTGAAGCAAAGAAAACAAGCAGCAAATATACCTGACACCTTCAGTTGATCATCTAGTGTTAGTCTTCAGCTAAAAGCTGTTAGGAATCACCTGGTTGGAACTGAAATGTTGAAACAAAAGCCAGCCGGTGTCCAAAGAAAACCACTGAAAGATTCAGTATTTTAAAAAATCAGGCTCCATTAGTACAAAATATATAATGAGGGATGACTTGGGGCTTTTGCTCACTGTAGATTGCCTTGATCCCAGTAAGATGTGTGCAAAATTATATAATTGTATTAATATAATTTGACCTTTATTATGTTACTGAATCCAATAAAAAAGTTGTGCTTCTGTAGAGTATCATGTATTTTATGTTCAAAGGTGTTTCCTCTGCTTTCTGTGCAGGCTACCTTCCTGTGTCACTGTTTAATCAGAGGAAAAGAACTAGAGTTCCTCTGAAATCAGCTCCTTCTGGGAATGAATTCTTTTCCCAAAGTGAAAACATGACCAGCAGCAGCTCAACTGCACCTCTCAACACCTCGGGTAAAATTAAGTCTCAATAGGCTCGTCCATGTTCAATCACTAGGTGGCAGCACAAACAAAAACATGTATCTAGTGGTCTAAAAAAATGTACAGTATCTTGGCACGTTTTAGATGATTTCCTTAAATTTAAAAACTATTTTGTAGTTATGTTGCAATTTGTTGCTAAGTTTTAACTCTCATAACTAAACTGTAGCTGCATAAGAAAATTTAATGTGACACACAACTATGTAGTCATGTTTTTGGAAGCAAGACGATGGGGTGAAATTAAAGACAAGACTGCAAGACATGTACCTGTACCTCCTAGAATGAGTTGTATTTTCTCTCAGGTGCATATGGGTGCTACCAGGCCTCAGGTCCCTGTACCTCTGCTCCTCAGAGCCATCAGTGGAACAGACAGGGCATCTCACAGTCTGCTAAACCCCAGCAGTATTACGGCAACAGACCTGCTCCTGGACCTTCTCCTACAGTTAGAGCTGATGCACCCATGCCACATCCTTATGAAGCTGGAGCTAAGAGGTGTAGATTACTCTCTATTTGACAAGTTGTTATAATCAACAATGCAAGTAAAACTGTAGGGAGCATGAAATGGAAAAGTCAGTTAAACACATTGTTAATATAACAGTTTTATTACATGAAAATAAAAATACTGTTATTATTTCAGCTCTGTGATTGGACAGTCTGGCAATCCGGTCAGACAAGATTTTAGCTCTGGTGGTGGTTTCAGGCCGAGAAGAAGTCAAGGCACCTACGGCAGAGAGAACTTGGAAAATAAGCCAGCACTCTCTCCAGGGTTCTGTCAGATGCCTCAGCAGCCACCTTGCAGACCTCCTCTCTCCACTCTTCAGTATTCCCAGCAGTCTAGACCTCTTCCTTCTCCTGAAACACCACCCTGGAAGACCTCTACCCATGCTGTGCAGCTGCCGAACAAATCCTGGAAATTTACCAACACCTTTGAGCAAGAGAAACCCAACATTGTGGAGAAAAGGGGGTCGAATCGATCTCCAACTGCTCGACCAGTTAAAACCCAGGTAGAAATGTCCAGTACATATAGAACATGCAAAAATACACATCTGTTTTAATAGCTGTAAACCGTTCATTTTTACTTGCTAGTGGAAGGCAAAGTGCGATTGATAATGTTTTTGCCTGTGTCTGTGCGTGTTTGATTGTTAGCAAAATATCATGACTAGAGAAATAATCACTGAATTAACACCCATCATTATTGTTCAGTAACTCAGTCAGTTATACAAATAATGAGCTAAAATTAGATGTGATAGCTGAGCGGTATCCAACATTTACTCCAAGTAATACATGTGTCACAAGAGGGTTATTAAAACGTTGTCATTAATTTTTCAATTCAATTCAGTTTATTTATATAGCGCCAAATCACAACAAAGTTGTCTCAGGGCACTTTACAGAAACATTCACGTACATAAAAGCCAATTAGTAAAATTCTCTAAGGAATTAAGTGTTGGAATGAGCTTTGATCGGTACATTTATTTAGATTTTTCTGCCATTTTCAGCAGGAAGCTCTTCCAGTGAAGCCGGCCGTTGAGAACTCTCTGAGGATCTTAACTACAGTCATTGAAGGAATGAGACACTGGAGCCAGTTTAAGGACAAAGTGTCTTACCTGTTTGAGATATTTGGTCCGTTGGATTGTAGTAGCTGCAGTCTGCTGTCAGGTATTTGTGCTCACCTGTAACTGGTCGTGCTTTGCTCTCTTCCCCACAGCTACTCTGGATTCTGCTGTCACACTGGGGCGCTACGGAGCCAAGAACTTCCTCATGAGAGACGGGAAGGAAGTTGTACAGTGTGTTTTTTATGAGAATGTGAGTTTTTTTTTTAAGAACAATAATATAAGAATGCATATGTTAGATAAAATATCTAATTGTAAACTGAATACAATGTTTTCATCATTGTTTACTTTGGGCTCTCACAGCTGATCCAACTCATTCAGATCGAGCATTGTAGGAATAACAAAAGGTCTGCAATCATATTTCTGCCTGTTTTCTAACAGGAGCGGGTTCTGCCCCGTCTCATCCGAGGTCAGGTCCATCGCTGTGTTGGAAACTACGACCCCAGCAGAGACGTCCTGGTCTGTGTGTCCGTCAGAGCCGGCCTGTCCTCGGAGCAGAGGAACGCTCAGGAAGCTGTCAAAGCTTCTGATGCTGAGATGAGAGCGCTGGTCAAGACCCTCAGTGAAGTCTGAGCAGGAGCAGGTATCTTTAGTGGGTTAAGAGCAAAAAATAAAACGTGTACCTGTTGTTTTGTTAGGTATTCAAAACTAAACTGATTTCTGTTTATTTTAGCTTGTTGTAGTTCAAAGTAAGAAGAACAATATTGTTATTGTTGCAGCTTTATGTCTTGAAAGGGTGCTGCGTTCATTCACCTCCATTTAGTTAAAATAACTTAAATGTTCTCTTTTAAGTGTTTATTTTGGTTTGTTTGTGAACAAATATAAAATAATTTAAACAAACCATTGTGGAAAGTCAATCTGCTTTTTAGAAACAGTTTTATTACAAAGAAACATCACAAAGTAACAAACAAGTTAATTCAGATAAACACAAAAGAAGTCAAACCTGAAACTATACCTTTTATAAAACAGGCCAGTTAGGAATAACATGATACCAAGAACAGTTTATTTACAATCAAACATCACGATAAAAAACAAAAACACCACTTTTACTCTACCTAAACATCGTCACCAGTGCTGAGACTTTACACACAACAGAAGAGAGAGTTAGTCCGTTGCTATTATTGTTCCAGTCGCTCCCACACATCAAACACAGTATGAGGTCCAGTACCAACATCTCCCGTTCGGATCGTCCGCTAAATATGGCAACATACAAGTTTCTGTTGGACATTTCATTATGAGAGACCAAACTTAGAGTTGTTTCAATTTTAATCTGTTAGTGGACTCCAAATTATTTGAATACAAATACACACATCAACACCTACTAGAAAAAGAAGGTCAGGCTTGATGATGTTGGCAGTGTACAAGAACTGCATGGTGACAAGAGGACATTTGTTTTTGGAACAGAACCAGTGCTCCAAAAGGAGACATTAACAAAATCACGCCTATAGATACGATTATTTCAGGATTAAATGAGTGTCTTACATGTAATGTTGGTAAAGTACCAGTTAAATATGTTGACCAAGGCCTCCAGATCTACTCTACCATGTTTTAGTTCACGTCAGACAAAGAGGCAAGAAAAAATCTGTTAAAATTCAGAACATTTTCAAAAGATCCTCACTTCTTCTTGATAATTAAAGTGTGTCAGAGTATAAATTAGGGGTCTGCAACCTTTGTGATAAAAAGAGCCATTTTTGCCACTTTGCTTACTAATTACGATGGCCGGAGCTGCAAAACCTGCTACAACTGTGTACTATCATCTGGTGGTCCGTGGACCACTACAAGTTTGTTGGAGATGCCTTTTCCATCCAGTGGGGGTGAAATTATAAAATGAAAAATGTCTCTGTTATTAACATTTATTGATATTTTTTACATTTTAATACAAAAGAAAATACCAGATTCATGTAAGGAAAGAAAAAAATATACATTTTTAACAATTTTATAAAAATTAAAACACTGAACTATGCAGGCCAATGTGAGTTCTCTTAATTGTTTAAGAATTAAGTTTCCTACTTAAAGCATAAAGTTAAAGACTGGATAAAATTAGGCCAGTTTGTTAGATATCAGTTACATATTTAAATAAAAGCTAGAGAAATTGCATTTCCTGCAAACATGCAGTGTGAATGCTAATGCCTGAAGAACTTGCTAGAAAACAGCTTAAATTAGCTAAAAACATGCTGGAATGTAGCTGAAATGGAAGAACATGCCTAAATTAGCAGAAGAAAGAACACATATTTGCTGAAATAGGTTTAAATAAACAGAAATGAGCACAAAAATGAGGAAAATTAACTAAAAAAAGGCTGAAATTAGCAAAAAGTAGCTGAAAAGGCAGAAAGGCTTAGACTTCCAGAAGGAAGCGGAAAGAGCTGAAATGAGCTAAACAAAAAATTGGAATTAGCCAAAAGCTAAAATTAACATAAAACAGCTAGTAGCTGAAATAGCAAAAAAGCTGAAATTAGCATAAGGAAGTTAATTAGGCTGAAAGTAGCAACAATAACTATGAAAACTTATTTTCATAAAAGAGATGAAATTATCTAAACATGCTAAAAAAGTAACTGAAAAGCTAGAACAAGCTTAAATAGGAGAAGAAAGTAGAAAAAAACACGTGTGCTGGAAGAAGCAGAAATGAGCAAATAAAAGTGGAAAATGTCGTCTGAAAAAAGCTGAAATTTGCAAAAAAAAACCAGCTGAAGAGTTGCTAAAAGAAGCAGAAAGAAGATGAAATTGAATAGAAGGAAGTGGAGAGCACAATTCTGCTGAATTAGGCTGAAAAAAGTTTCCAGTTTGCCAAAAATGTGAATTGGCAGATATTGCTAAACTCAGCACAAAGCAGCTAAATAGTACTTGAAATAGCAGGCAAAGCTGAAACTTGCAGAAATAAGCTGAAAGGAGCATAAGCTGAAATTAGCAGAAAGAAGTTAGAAGAAGCACAAAAATGTTGTATTTAGCAGAAAGAATCTAAAAGGAGCACAAAACAGCTGAAAAAAGTTCAAATTTGCACAAGGAAGCTGAAAGAAGCTGAATACTTTTGTTTGAATTTTTTTTTAGTGAGTTTTATTGTTAGTGTCATCCAATGTTCCTTCTCAGCAGCTTGTCTTAAAGTTTGTCCAAAACATTCTGGTGGTTTTGAGAGAACGATCACGCTGTGAGACTGGAAGTTAATTTAAAGTGGCTAACAAACTAGCATGATGTAATACACGTTTTACGCCTTCTATTTGTACTATTCTTCATATATTTGAAAATGACAGGAAATCTGCTGAAACTAGCCATTTTCATTTTTGGTAATAATTTAAATAAAATTCAGTTTTATGTTAGTTTTGGTCAAAGGCTGAAAGAGCTGCTGCAGAGGTACCAACGAGCCACATGTGGCCCCAGAGCTGTAGGTTGCAGACCCCTGGTATAAATGAACACTGCTTTCCTCTTCAAGGATTTGAAAACTTTTCTTGCCCAACATTTTCTCTTAAGCTCATACTGCATGGAGTACAGAAGAAACATGAACACCGGGAGGAAAAGTATAAGAGAAAAAGTCCCAAACATCACGTCACATAACAGGATCGTCCGTATTCAGCAGATCAATACCTGATGGCTGTATTAAACTGGTCTTTGTTTTAAAAAGGCACAAGTTGGTCAAATCACACTGAAAATCTACTTCAGTTTTTCTACCAAGAACAAAACCATCTTTGAGGGGTTTCTTTTCACAAAAATCTTACACCTTCTGGGACTTTGCTCTTTTTTTCCTGAATTAGTGTTTATAATTGGGCATTGACAGGAAAAAACAGTCGGTATATCACACAAACAAATTTAGAAAAAGCGTTGACAAACAAATCTTAACATTACTTTTATTTTAAGCTTATTCCATAACACTTCTCTCAAACAAATATTTGTTGGGATTGACTTCTTTCCAGTAAGGAAGGCAGATTTTAATTGTCCTTATGGCAACTCTGACACTGCACCTGTGGTCCATTCCTTTGTGTAACTCCAGTCTCTGAAAGCTGAACGTGTTCTTGACTCTTTCTGGTTCACCGTCGAGTCACAAGACTGAAGAGTTAAAAAAAAGAGATCTGACGAGAATTATTTGTCAAAGTTCTTGTTTCAAAGTGTTGTTTTCAAACTTCAAGGATCCGCTCTGCTTGATCGACAGTATCGACAGAACAAACATCTCAACATGATAAATTTTAGATGCAGCTTCTTCAGAGTTCAGACTCTCCAGTCAGGATTAGACAGTTCTCCTTTTCTTTATTCATTCATTCACCTTTGTCAAGATTATTATTTTTTTAATCCTCTGAAACATGATGAGCCATGTAACTTCATGCTTATTCTGCCTGGACGCTGAAGCGTTCAGTCTGTTTTGGAATGTTACATCAACTTGTTTTCACAAAACAAACCAACAACAAAACAAGGTAAACAGTTTCTTTTGTGTGTGTGTGTGTGTGTGTAGGTTGTGACATTTGTGGTAATTTTTCTCAAGTTCTTTTTGTCTTCTGACTGCATCAGAAGGATCAAATCAATCAGGATTGAATTGAAGTTAAGAAAATAACAATGCAGGAAGACGGTGTTTCTTTTTTTGTAATTAGTTTTAGTTTGCACTGAGCAGGGCTTCCTAAGTATTAGTGCTCTAAAAAATGAAATACAGGAGTCTCATTAGAACATCGAGTCAGGAAATGATCAAGAGGTGGAAAACTAAACAACTATAACAGGGTTGGCAAAGGGGTGGGGGACAGCTGCTCCTTTGGCGCATATTTGGCAAAAAAGGGCAGAAAGACGGTGAGCATGACTCCAACAATGGCCAGCATGTAGCCCCAACCAATCTGGCACTCGCCGGCATAGTAGATGTCAGAGTCTCCGCAGAAAGATCGAACGAGTGAAGAGTTGAGGCCGAAAGGGTAAACCAGCAGTCCGGTGGCCATGATGAATACTGCAGAGAAAATACAAAACAGGATGGATATGTTAGTTTAATACATTTATTTATGATGCTCTGATAAATGTCACATTCTGTTAATATGATGCCATACAGATGCACTGGTTTTATTTGTCCACACTTTCTTGGAACAAAGTTGAACAGATTTTCATGATTGGTTTGAAATATTTACAGGCGTCTCCAAAAATTAGAATATCGTGAAAAGTTCAACATTTTTTTTGTCAACTATTTCAGAAAATGAAACTCATATTACTCATTACACAGAGTGACATACACTGCCTGGCCAAAAAACAAAAGTTGCCACCAAAAAATAAGGTCACACACTAATATTTTGTTGGACCGCCTTTAGCTTTGATTGCAGCAGCATTCACTGTAGCATTGTTTCAATAAGCTTCTGCAATGTCACAAGATCTATTTCCATCCAGTGTTGCATTAACAAGATGTTGCATTGATGACTAGGCGCTAGGCACGATGGGTACATCACTTCACCTGCCTCTCTTCTTACCCTGATGCACCCATCACTCTGGAACATGGTTAATCTGGACTCATCAGACCACATGACCTTCTTCCATTGCTCCAGAGTCCAATCTTTATGCTCTCTAGCAAATTGAAGCCTTTTTTCTAGTTAGCGTCACTGATTAGTGGTTTTCTTAAGACTACACAGCTGTTCAGTCCCAATCCCTCGAGTTCCCTTCACATTGTGCGTGTGGAAATGTTCTTACTTTCACTATTAAACATAGCCCAGAGTGCTACTGTTGTTTTTCTTCCATTTGATTTCACCAAACGTTTAAATAATCGCTGATCACGATCATTCAGGATTTTTTTTCCGGCCACAGTTCTTCCTCAAAGACGATGGGTCCCCACTATCCTTCCAGTTTTTAATAATGCGTTGGAAAGTTCTTAACCCAATTTTAGTAGTTTCTACAATCTCCTTAGATGTTTTCTCTGCTTGGTGCCAATGATTTGACCCTTCTCAAACATAATGACATCTTTTCCACGACCACGCCATGTGTCTTTAACATGGTTGTTTAAGAAATGAGAAGCAACTCATTGCACCAGTTGGGGTTAAATAACTTGTTGCAGCTGAAAGATAATCAGCCGTGCAGTAATTATCCAATAGGAGGCTCGTACCTATTTGCTTAGTTAAATCCAGGTGGCGACTTTTTTTTTTCGGCCAGGCAGTGTATTTTAAGCCTTTATTTCTTGTATTTTGGATGATTATGGCTTATAAATAATGAAAAACCAAATATCATTGTCTCAGAAAAATAGAATATTCCACAGCCAGCTTTTGGTACTTTTGTCAGTGGGCCGGAGCCAAGTCCTACTGGAAAATGAAACCATAGATCTCCATGAAGCTCATCAGCAGAAGGAAGCATGAAGTCTCTAAAATGTCCTGCTAGATGCTGCATGGACTGTGGACTTCAGAGAACCCAATGGACCAACACCAGCGGAGGACATGGACCCAAACCATCACTGACTGTAGAAACTTCCCTCTGGACTTCAAGCATCATGGATTCTGTTCCCCTTCTCTTCCTCCAGAGTCTGCGACCTTGATTTACAAATGACACAAACATTTACTTTAATCTAAAAAGAGGACGTTGGACCTCTGAGCAACAGTCCAGTTCTTTTTGTCTTCAGTCAGGTAAGACGCTTCTGATGTTGTCTCTGGTTCAGGAGTGGCTGGACTTGATGTCCAGGAGTTAATCAGCTGATCAGGGTGAGACACCAGGAGTTTACACAATTGAACGTCTTCACGATGTTCTAATTTTCTGAGACACTGAATTTTGTTTTTTCATTATTTATAAGCCACAATCATCAAAATTACACAAAATAAAGGCTTGAAATATTTCAATCTGTGTGTAATGGATCTATGTAAAATATGAGTTTCACTTTCTGAAATGATTGACAAAAAGATATCAAACTTTTTAACGAGGTGTACATTTTTGATATGCACCGGTACATCTACCACAACAGGAATGACTCTACTAAAAACTGTTGGCTGATTCAGATGTCCACAGATCTCTCAAAACTGGAACACGTTTGCATTGATTTGTACGTATCACAGAGTACAAGAAACAACATATTATTGTGTGTTTGTTGTCACAGATTTATAGTTTTTGATCAAGTTACCTACACTAAATCACTTCTAAACATGTGAAACAATTCATAGACGATTTGGCACAATTTACACAACTTCAAAAAAAATTACAAACTGTTTTTTTTAATCCATTATAAAAAAATCTAATTAGAAAATTGGAAATTACTACAAATGTTATTCATGTGTGTTAACACAAAATACTAAGCAGTGAGTAACTAGGAATTCAAGCAGGTAGTGACTTAAAAGTAATTTTTATGTCTTACAGTTTAATTACATCAGGTTGCCCTTTTTATTTTGCAAGTCAAGTGTTTAAACAAAAAGACAAATGTAATTTGTTTTAGCAGCGACGTTTCTCAGAATCTGATTTTTCCAAGTTGATGTGAAGACAACAAAAAAATTGAAAACATATTTAAATCAGGTTTTCGCACCGAAAATTGCAGTTACATGTGATCTAGAGGCATAATGATATTCTATTAACTGTGGTTTTATAATTACAATATCAACAATTTAAAAGTGGATAAAAGAGCTCTTTGATATTTACACTGTTAATCTTATTTTTTCAGTTAGTGTTAACATCCTGGTTGGTGCTCTCTGTGACTTTTACCTCATTTACAGACTGGACATGGGTCATCCTCCATATTTTCAGTTCAGGGTGGTTTGTAAATTAAAATATAAGAGATAAACTGCTTAGGCTAAAAGATGCTAATTTCAGTCGGAGCGCTTCAAATCTAAATGATGACTAAAATTACACAGGGTTTAAATTCCTTTTTTTTTTTTTTTTTTTGGGTGGGGGATTGGTGCCTATCTCCAGCAGTTGCTGTGTGAGAGGTGAGGGACACCCTGGACGAGTCCATCACAGGGACACATAGAGACAAACGAGACACTCATGCACACCTAATGACAATGCACGTTTCTGACCAGTTGGAAGAAACCAGAGTAAATGGTAAATGTACTGTACTTATATAGCGCCTTTCTATCTTATCAAGACACTCAAAGCTCTTTACAATCTGTGTCTCATTTACCCATTCAAACAGCACTCTACTAGATCTGTACAAAGATAATTGAACAAATCATTCCAAAGAGACTAATCAGAGCTTTATCACATTCAGACACCGATGGGACACACGTCAGAGGCAATGAGGGGTTCAGTGTCTTGCCCAGGGACACTTTGGCATGTGACTGCTGGTGGATTTGAACCCTTCACTCTCGCATTGGAGGACGACTGCTCTAACCACTAGTACCAGAGAGTACACAGAGAAAACCCACGCATGCACAGGTGGAACATGCAAACTCCACACAGAAAGGCTTACAGCAAGAGTTAACCACTTACACACCGTTCTGTTCGAGGTGCAAACAGAATTTTACTGACAAAAAAAAAAAAAAAAAAAGACTGAGAGCCACAAGGTGGCAGAAGAAGCTTTGCTAAAATAAGAGACATGTCTATACCTGTTTCACCAGTCTGGTCCATTTTTTGTATCGTCTGGTCTTACATACATAAAAAAAAAAAAACATCAACAACAGCCACAAATAACCTCTTCCAGTATTAAAAGAACAGAGCTTTTCATGCAGTGTATTATTGAATTATCGTTAGTGTAATAATGTCAAACTAAACGTGTTATGTCATGAACCCTCTCCAAAAGTAAGCACTCCATCTCTTTGAACTTTTTTCAGGTTTCTCTGTCATTTTTTTCTTTGCACACAAGCTGCCAGAAAGTGGCTCACTTTTACAGACTGATCCGAGCTCTGACCTCACGCTGCCAAACCATTATCGAACGTGCCAAAGGCTATCATTACTGCTCTTAGTCATTCCGAGAGCGGGTTTAGTGTCGTAATAGTTTTAGTGTTGAGGAGCTGCTGCTATTTGGAAAGCTTGAACTTACGTTGGTGAGTAAGTCTTAAAACACACACAAAATGTCATCACACCGTATTGATTTTCAGCAGTTTTCTTCTTTCAAAGGCAGTGACTTCATGCTCTGGAGGAAACATTACTAATATGATAGCTTCAGTGGTGTATGAGGATCAAATCAATGTTTGTTAGGGCAGCAAACACTTGGAGTTGACTGGGATACAGATGTACGAAACATTCACTGATGCCCTTTACACATGGGACTTTAGAAATGATTGTTAGGTGAACAAAACAAATGTGTTGAAACATAGAAAAGGGGTACATTTGCTTAGAAGAGTTGTTTTTTGAGTTTAATTTAGTCTGTTATAACGTTTCTCCATGGAAATCTTTGAGTCCTCATCTTGTCTTTCCAGCTTGTATTCCATTGTAGTCTTTTATCAGCTTGTTCATGTCTGCAGAGACCAAAAGCCTCAAAATTCTGATCTTTTCTTACCCAAACCTTTTCTTTTGTGCATATGCCAATCACAAAAACACAGCCACGTACTTACAACTCAAGGACGCTTCCCTCATTTTCTTAACTGACAGCTTTCAAAGCAAGCTGAGACACAAATGTTAAAAAAATGCTCTGGAACAAAAGCAGAGCATAACCCCAAAATAATCAACACAAGGATGAAATCAAGGCCACTGTGTCTAAGAGTCTTCCAAGCAGCATCAGGGCTAGATATCATCAATCAAACCAGGATAGCGTGCTGTCTTGATCAGATAAGATGCTTTTTGGGCTGAAAGGATCTCTGCAAGCCTTTAATGAGAGGAGAAGGCTTGAAAATGTTGTAAAATCCACCTAAACTCAGAGACTAACTTTAAATGAATCAAAATATTATGTCCTGTCCAAAATGATTGGAATCTACCCATAATACTTTCACACATCTTAAAAGGAAATTTCACTGTTTTGCACATCAAAGTTTGTGTACCGATTGCCAGTAAACAGAGTAAACATTTATTGAAAAAAAAAAAAAAAAATATATATATATATATATATTTATATATATCCAT